TGCACTGATTTATCATACATGCCATAGGTCACATATGTCAAAAGGTCAAACTATTGTTAGCCATTGATTAACTTTACTTGTTGATTTCAGTTACAATGGTAACTAATGGTATCTAAGTTCTCATTGTTGTAGAAGACAGCTTGTATAATTGTTACCAAGGCATTTGTTTGAGAAGTCCACTCAAACATTCAAAAGTAAATTTCTGTTTCTAAGACAAATGAACAAACAGATCCTTTTCTATAAGTCTGAGAAAAAAAAAATCGTTAAACAGACATATAATTATATCAAGTGCAACACAACAAACAAAGTCCAGCTTTTGCACAATAAAGGGCTGGCCATGCCCAAATCCTATGACACATGCATGACCCTCACTCCATTAATTTCTCTGGCTTAAGCCATACTCCATTAAATAGCTGAAGCCACTATTAGTACGGGAATAAATTAATTGAATGCAGCAAGACATGCAAAGACTGTGCAGCACTGGGCATAGGCACAAAGTAAAAATCTCCAGAGCTGGGCTGAAGGTATTGAACTATGTGGTCTACATTGAGTAGGATGGGGAGAGGATTTAGAGGAGAAACTTATTAAAAGTGACTACATTTCCAACCTAAAATCAACCTTCTGTTTTATTAGAAGCTGAATACTACAGTACAAACCTGGGCAAATGGCTGCCTACATATTATGTATCACACCCGTTGAGGTGTTACTACTAGTTTATTTGCTATATATGATGTATTTAGCAGAGCATAGCATGTACATCTCTATTTCCAAACACGTTTAGTCTCTATATGAATCACTTGCATTTATGTTTGAGAACAAAAGAATAGGCATATGGGAGACATGGTACAGAACAAAGCTATAAGACAATAGTCAGGCATGATCTAGAAAAAAGCCCCCATGGTCCATTATAATATGCATATAAATGGCACCATAATACCACATTGCAGTGATTCTTTCATTAACTAGAAACATTTGTTAGACTGTAATTTTCAGGTTGTATAATTATCAAATCACATGAGTATAAACTGTAATAGACAAATTAAATGTGAAAGTTAATTAAATTTTATAGTATGCAGGAATTTTGTGGTGTAGATGACTTGATACTGAGAAGCCTTGCCTACTACAACCTTTATATTTGATCTGTGTTGCTCTATGTAAAATTAATTACAGAAAAAAATTTATTATGGTGCAGCACTGCGATGACTGTTGTATGTCTTTATTAATCCAATTATAAACTTATTTATGGCCTATAATGTCAAATATTTATGGTGTTATTTGTGTTATGTACAGACAGAGGCAAGTGGTGATACCAATAACAACACTGAATTATGTGTTCGATGAAAATTATGATATAACCAAATATCAGGCTATTTAAAATTATTACTAGCTTAAACTTCTGATCTGAAGTAATAAGTAACATTGGGGTTGGTTTACTAAAACTGGAGAGTGCAAAAACTGGTGCAATTGTGCATGGTAGCTAACCAGCTTCTAAATGTAGCTTGTTCCTTTAGGCTTTGACAAACAAAACCTGGACGTTGATTGTTTTTTTATGCAAAGCTGCACTACGACACCATGAGGGTCACACTGCAGCTAGATGTCCCCATGTACAAGGGGCTTAAGTCTTGTATTCAGTGCCGGGACAAGGGGTGGGCAGGAGGGATGACTGCCCTGGGAACTGTGGTATAATGTGAGGTGGGGGAGCTGTGAGGAGGTTGGTGGGGAGAGGAATTGTGTTGGGAGGGACCATTTGGGGGGTGGCAGAGGATAAGAATTATTCTAGGAGGGATACTTTGGGGGAGTGCACTAGGAGTGGTGATATGGAGGGATTTATGTTGGGAGGGGGGATGGGGGAAGATGATTTGTGCTAGGAGGGAGGATTTGAGGGTTTGTGCTAGAAGAGGTGACAAAGTAGGAGGGGGGATGGGGGGCAAATATTTGTGTTGGGAGGGGGATTTTAGGAGGGGGGTGCATTTTCACTGAGGGATGGAGATGTATGCTTAGGGGATAAGCATGCAGATTTGTGCTTAATTTATTGAGGGTATTGGGTAGACACATAATGCTCATACTTCTTGGGGGGGGGGGGGATGTTGCAGTTTGGCATGGGCTTTGGATAACCTTGTCCCAGCACTGCTTGTATTTCTATTTAATATAATGTGCTTCTTTGGTTCATCATTCAAGATGCATACAGCAAAAAGAGGCTACCAAATGGTGGGCTTCAAAGAGACAATGGATCCAATCCCTCTTGTGTTCCTGCTGGAGCCCACACTCCATGGCCTGACAGACTGGACACTGAAGACAAAACAGCAGGAGAAAGAGAAGTATTTACCACTGTCTCAAGGCCATCAGAACCCTTTACCTACTGCTTCCATCCCTGTGAGTTGTGAGGCAAAGGCAATAGGAGGCCAAGGACGAATACTAGGAGTAGAAGGAGGGTTGGGGTGCTGGTGGCAAAGAGTAGAAGTGGGGCAAGTTTCAAGTGGGGAGTGTCTGATTGAGCAACAGAGGCATTGAAGTGGGGAGTCCATGATTGTTCAGGTTTCATAATCTCTTTTGTATTATTTTGCAGTGTATGCATACCTTTCCTCAACCTGAACTTATTTTGCATTACTGCTTTTACCTTTTCACCTGTTTAGTGATCTGCAAATTACAGTTACTCACCATCTGATCAGTCAGCTATTTAGCTATTTAGATTGCACACCACTTGAAGGTCAGGGACTGATGTGAATGTGCAATATATATATGTAAAAGCGCTGCATAAATTGACAGCGCTATAATATAGCGCTATATAAGTACCTGAAATAAATAAATCACTGCAGTGCAAGGAAACTTTGGCTATTGAATTAACTTACAAAAAATTGTGAAAAAATTGAAAAATTCCATAACTCACAGAAACCAAACAATTGTTCAATAATGAAATCTGGGAAAATAAAGGATATTATTTTTGTTTTATTATATAAAATTTCACATAAATTAAATATCTTTAATGCCATTAAAGCTGAAATATCAGTTATTGGCTGAACAAAGCAAAATCATCTATTTTTCTTTTATTTATAGACAACACATTAAGATGAAGCGCTTTAGCACTTTACCCGAGGACCTATGTTGCCCATGACTGGCAGCTTTTGCCTCTTTGTCACTGTTTTTATGACCTTTTTGGCTTGTGAGTATGCATTTTTATAATAAATTTCTTACTATCACAGTAATGCACGAGGAGAGTACTCCCTGTTTTGTTCTTTTCTGCTAGTATCAAGATTCCCTGATCTATCAAGGGGCAGCACCTCAGCAAGTGCTGGATTTCATATTTTTGAGTGCCGCAAGAAGGATTTGAGAGCTGGTTTCTGGTTACTGTTGACATTAAGATCACAAACACCTATATGAGAATAATACAGAGCCCTTCAATCATTGAGGTTTGAGGCTGAGGGCAGAGAAAAAAGAATATTAAAGTATATCTAAAGCAAAAACTTGTTTTAGATATTTAATATATATTTCCACAACTGCAGCCAAATTGGGATAACACTATTTACAGGGGGGTTGGGGAGCTGTGTTAGTCATAATGAACCATGTCTGTACTGTGCTGGCATATCTTGTTATCAGTTGTAAACTAGATTTAAACACTGTCCCATCAAATGGTAAATGTTTAGAAGCTGGATTTCCTGCACTGTATGTTAATGAGAGGAATTTCAGCCAGTCCTAAACCTTTCTATTGGGAGGAGCCTCACCCTGAACTTGTTCAGAAATGCTTGCAATCTTCCATACCATCTTCTGCTAAAGAACTTCTAAAAGGAAATAAATAATTTAGCAAAAATATTTTTTTTTTAGGAATGCTTTGTGAATAGGAGCGCATTGTAAACTTATAGTAGGCTTTTCTCAAATTTGCACACAAAAGTGGAAATACACTTTAAGCTTCCTGCAAATTCTCTTAAGGACAGTGCAATGCTGCTAAGATATATGAAGAGCAGATACCCAGAAGTGCCTGAACATAATTGCAGCAGATTTTGAAACCTGAATAATGGGGAAATGTTGCGAATCTGGATTACTTTGATAATTTTTGACAACCGATTTTCACCCAAATCACATGGGAAGCCCCCACAGCTGTAGGAGACCTTGGCTAATGTGATTGGCTAATGTTTCTTCATCAACTGGTACTAGGACTGCTTTGACCCACAGAGGTAGCTTCCGCAAAGTAAATTTTTCTTTCTTATTTACTGTTTAAGGGAATGTGCATAACAGGCCAACAGAGCAAACCAGAGTTTGATGGTGGCACCAATTGGCCAACAGAGCAAACCAGAGTTTGATGGTGGCACCAATTGGCCTGAACAATGAGACATTAGCAGCAAGCAGCTGTCTTCCACCCACAAAATTAGAGCTACAGATTTGGCTGGGTAAAAACTTGAAGCTTGAAATCACAGAAAGGTGTTTTGTAGGCTTTTTTTGTCAAGGGAAGGAACAGAGGAAGAAGAGGTGCTAGAACTGGTGACTCTGCCTTTAGGCCTGTCTGCCATTTGTGTATTTTTGCAGGTATATCCCTAAATGTTATTGGTTACTATGAGGTTAAGGGGTGTGGAGAACATAGGGTAATGGTGTGAAGTGTTTTTTTAATGCACACAGCTTTTTCTTAATTTTAAAAAACAGCATTGGATAGTTAGCAACAAGTGTCTGTTGGCCCCTTATAGAAAATAAAATTAAAAACAGCAGCTAAGAGATTAAGAGCTAGCTTGTTTGCTGACAGATATTAGTCCCTAAAAGGATCATTGGGTTCGGTAAAGCTCTGTGGACACAGGTAGGCACAAAGAAGAGTATACCTCACCACTGCAATACAGAGGACTCAAACACAGTTCACAAAATTACCTTCATTAACCACTTCCGATTTGCCCTATAGCAGAAATATTGCTACAGAGCTGCAGGGGTGTGCAAAATCACGTATATATATGTGATTTTGTATTTACAGGTAGGGGGGCACCGCCATTGGCGGCCTCTGCTGTCAATCTGGTCCCGTCCAGTAATTACTCGTTGACACCCGGTGATCGCTGAGTGTTACCGATGAGGGAGAGACCTGTGTATAAACAACACAGATCTCTCCCCTGTCAGCTCCTGAACACTGCTTTGTATTATCTATTATTATTATTATACAGGATTTATATAGCGCTAACAGTTTGCGCAGCGCTTTACAATATAAGGGAGACAGTACAATTACAATATATTTCAGTGCAGAAGGAATAGGAGGGCCCTGCTCGTGGAGCTTACCATCTAAAGGAAGGAGGAGGTGATACAAAGGGTGATAGCTGCGGGGATGATCTGGCGGAGGTGATTCAAGTACAGTTCTTAGGTGGAGGTGGGGTAGGCTTCCCTGAAGAAGTGAATTTTCAAAGATCGCCTAAAGGCAGACAGGGTGGGGGCTGACCGGACATGCTGTGGTAGGGAGTTCCAGAGGATGGGAGAGGCTCTGGAGAAGTCCTGGAGGCAAGCGTGGGAGGAGGTGATGAGGGAGCTAGAGAGGAGGATATCATGGGAGGAGCGGAGTGGGCGATTTGGGCGGTATCTGTGGATGAGGTTGGTGATGTAGCTAGAGGCAGTGTTGTGGATGGCTTTGTAAGCTGTGGTTAGTATTTTGAATTTTATACGTTGGGTTAGTGGAAGCCAGTGGAGGGATTGACAGAGAGGGGCAGCAGTCGCAGATCGGCTGGTAAGGTATATGAGTCTAGCAACATTATTCATAATAGACTGAAGGGAGGATAGCCTGTGTAACGGTAGACCAGTGAGGAGGGAGTTGCAGTAATCGAGGCGGGATATAACCAAGGCGTGGATAAGTTGTTTGTGGTGTCATTGGTCAGGAAGGGGTGGATTTTGGAAATGTTCCAGAGGTTGAGGCGGCAGGATTTAGCCAGTGAGTGGATGTGGGGCCCAAAGGAGAGGTCAGAGTCTAGGATTACGCCTAGCACCCTGGCATGAGGGGAAGGACCAATGAGTGGGGGATCAGGGAGGAGGAAATATTACAAGCTCAGTTTTTGAAAGATTGAGTTTAAGGTAGTGATGTGACATCCATGCTGATATGTCGCTTAGTAGATTTGTGATACGTGAGGAGATTTAGGGGGTGAGCTGGGGAGTGGAGAGATAGATTTGGGTGTCATCAGCATAGAGGTGGTATTGGAAGCCATGGGAGGTTATCAGTTGGCCCAGGGAGGAGGTATATAGAGAGAAAAGGATGGGCCCAAGAACAGAACCTTGGGGTACCCCAAAAGAAAGAGGAAGTGGAGCGGAGGAGGAGGAGTTGTATGTGACACTGAAAGTGCGCTGAGAAAGGTAAGAGGAGAACCAGGAGAGAGCAGAGTCACGGAGGCCGATGGAGTGGAGTTTACTGAGGAGCGGGTGGTCGACTGTGTCAAAGGCAGAGGAAAGGTCGAGGAGTATGAGTATGGTGTAATGCAGTTGGTTTTAGCAGTTAGTAGGTCATTATTGAGTTTTAATAGGGCAGTTTCTGTGGAATGTTGTGGGCGGAAGCCAGACTGTCGGGGATCAAGAAGGTTGTTGTCGGTGAGGTAGCAGTTCATACGGTTGTGAACAAGGCGCTTGAGAAGCTTGGAGGCAAACGGGAGCAGGGAGATGGGTCTTAAGTTATTCAAACAGCGAGGGTTTTTTTAGGATGGGGGTAACCAGTGCATGTTTGAGTGGAGAGGGAAAGGTGCCCATGGAGAGTGAGAGGTTAAAGATGTGGGTTAGAGAGTTTACGATACAGCAGGAAGGAGGTTGCAACAGTCGTGAGGGGACAGGATCCAGGGGACAGGTGGTGAAGTGGGCCTTGGAAAGGAGTTCGGTAACTTCCTTGGTGGTAACAGGGTCGAAGGAGGAGAGTGTAGAGTTTGGTGTTGGGCTGGGTATGTTGGTTAGAGGAGGAAGCTTGACACTGGAGATCTCATCACGAATTGTGTCGATCTTCTTCTTGATGTAACTGGCAATCTCCTGTGCAGTAAGTAAGTTGGTGGGTGGAAGCAATGGGGGGGGGGGGTGGAGTAAGGAATTAAGGGTCGAGAAGAGTTGACAAGGATTGGATGAGAGGGTCTTGATGAGAGTGTTATAGTAGGTTTGCTTAGCAGCGTGGAGGCTGGAGTTGTATTTGAGAAGAGCGGGTTTGTAGAGGGTAAAGTTTTTCAGGGATTTATTTTTACGCCATGCTCACTCAAGAGTGCGGATGCATCTCTTGAGACTTCTGGTGTCATCTGTTTGCCAGGGTTGTCACAGGCAAGGCCTGGTTCTGCGTGTAGAAAGAGGAGCAAGAGCGTCCAGGGAGGATGATAGATAGTTGTTGATGTGGCCAGCTCTGGGCAGCACTGGGGTGCAATTTCATCATAGAGTCGCTCAGTAGCGGAGTGGAAAAGGTCAGGGCTGAGGTGATGGAGGTTTCTACAGGTAACAGTTTGCTGGTTGGAAGCATGGGAGGTAGGAGGCAGGGAGAGTGTGAAGCTGATAAAATTGTGATCAGAGAGAGGAAAAGGGGTGTTAGAGAGGTTACAGAGCCATGCAAAGCAGTGTGCAGACAGTGAAGCACACACACAGTCCAAGTAGTAAAACAGCACACAGTTAACCCTTTGATCGCCCCAGATGATAACCCCTTACTGCCCAGTGCCATTAGTACAGTGTCAGTGCTTTTTATTAGCACTGATCACTGTATTGGTGTCACTGGGGATGTCAGTGACACCAAGTCAGTTCCCCCCAGTGTCAGAATTCTCGCTGCAGTCCCGCAGTCCCGCTATAAGTCGCTGATCGCTGCCTTTACTAGTAAAAAAAAAGTGAAAAAAAATTCCAGTATGTATAACGCCATTTGTAAACGCTATAACTTTCACGTAAACCAATTAATTTGCATGTATTGGGATTTTTTTTTTAGCAAAGGCATGTAGCAGAATACATTTTGGCCTAAAGTTATGATGAAATTTGATTTTTAAAAATTTTTTTACTGGACAATTTTTCACAAAAGTGTCAACTTTTTTTTGTTTATAGCGCAAGAAATTAAAAACGCACAGGCAATCAAATACCACCAAAAGAAAGCTCTATTTGGGAAAAAAAGGATGTAAATTTAATTTGGGGGCTTTGCAGCGCTTTTGTCAGTTAAAGTAACGCAGCGCCGTATCGCAGAAAATGTCTTGGTCAGAAAGGGGGATAAATCCTCTGGAGGGCAAGTGCTTAATTCCCTGTATTGAATTAGCTCTCCCTGTCCAGTCAATATCACCAGCTATAACACATTGACACAATGCCACAAACCTAAAGGGTTGCACTAAAGCAATGTCCATTTATTCAAATCAGCTAGCAAGCAGCGAAGCTCTGCCTAAAGCAGCTACCCTATAATATGTTTCACCCAGAAGAGCTTCATCTTTGATTATGTGGAGTTATGCTGTTTACTATTTGCCTTGAATAAACGGGCATACTGTGCCATTGGCATTGCTGGAGTGGAACCCTTTTTTTTGGTGTACACATGGAGCATGGACAGGCTCCTGGGGCTTGGCATCCAGCGCTAGCAGAGAAGGGAACAGGGAGTTCTGAGTTAGCGGTGGTTTGCTATGAAATCTCTTAACATTGCCACTATGGCTATACTAGGGCTCCCCTTAGTGTGAAGGGCTGGGTTATCCTGCTCACACACGTTATAGGCTATTTGAGTTTGTTGACCAGAGTCGAAGACTCAAAATAGTCACCAAAATATAATGACCTTGATGAACATGTAAAGGTTCTATTAAATATGAATTCTGGAATTCCTGTTTGAATCTGTGTTCAACTTTAAAGTTCTTGTAAAGGCTCAAGGTTTTTTACCTTCATGTATTCTATACATGAAGGTAAAAAACCTTCTCTGTGCAGCATCCCTCCCAGCCCCCCCAATACTCACCTAAGCCCCCTCTCAATCCAATGATGTGCACTGGAGTCTTGGCTATCCCTGGACTCCCTCTCCTCATTGGCTGATCACAGCCAGTGAGCCAATGAGAAGAGAGAGGGGGCAAGGCCGAGTTGCAGCTCTGTGAGTGAATGGACACACAGAGCAGTGGCTGGGGAGTGCATATGTTCAGGTGCCCCCACAGGAGCACCAGCAGGGTACCCCAGAAGAGGTGGGTCTGCTCTGTGCAAAAAAACTACACAGAGCAGGTAAGCATAGACATGTTTGTTACTTAAAAACAAAACAAATAAGCCTTCAGAATCACTTTAATTAGAATCTCAACACTGCACCGGAATGTCAGGCCATGCTGACAATGCCCTTTAGATTGTAAGCTCCACGAGGGGGGCCCACCTATTCCTTCTGCACTGAAATGTATTGTAATTGTACTGTCTCCCTTTCTATTGTAAAGCACTGTGCAAACTGTTGGTGCTATATAAATCCTGTATAATAAGAATAATATAATAATAATTCCTGGGTAGTGCTGAAGTGTGCCCAATTCCTCCTGCTCCCACATAAAACTCATGTCAAAACAGCCTGAAATTATGGAACAGCAGTGGAAATAGAAAGCTGTCTTGGGTGTGTATAGGCAATTTTTTGGCAACAATTTGTTATTTATTGTGTCAGAGTTTCTTTAAACCTGCCTCACATCTTATTTGCCCCTGGGCAACAAAAACATATTTTTTACACTCTAGAGCACTGTCTCATTTAAGAAATAATTTAGCACAGTAGATTTATGATATAATTGTTTAGGAAGGTAAGAAGGAGCTGTATTTGGTATTCATTCTTCTTCAACTGGAAGCACAACTATTGATTCAGGATTTGTGGCTAGGATCAGGATGGTGTGAGAAATGAGCTTTGCTGACATGATGAGTTTATCAAAGGAGCCCTAAAGGATTATAGGTCACTGATGTCTTACATGGTTAGCAAAGGTCAATCAAACGGAGCTTCATTTTGTGTCTTAATGCCAGACACACAGACTCAAAGGAATTTACTCCAGCAAATTGCCAGTACATCCTAAATTTGCCTTTAACAACTGACATTATGTCATATTTCATGTGCCACATGCCTTTCATTCATCTAAACTTGGCTCGTTTTATTAGGTGTTGTCACATTTTAAGACAATACAGTATGTTATTGCAACTTTCCAGTGATTGCCAGAAATGTTTAGGTAGTATGTATAATAATACATTATTATATATACTATTATTATTATATAATATATATAATTTATATATAATAACTAAATTGTAGACTTTTAATAGGACATTGATAGCAGGAAAAAAAGCATTAGTGGTCCACCTCGTCGATGATTTCAGTTCTATAGCTGGGTCTGCCATGGGATATCATGAACACTGCATGTCGCATCACATACAAATCATAGCAAGTGTTCGAAGCGTATTTAGGAAAACATGGTGCTGGAATAAATGCTACTCTTACAGTATGTACATATGCAATCGATGTAGAGGAATGCCTATTTACCCACCATGCTCAGAAGCTATTTAATACGATTTCTCACAACTCCCTGGGTTCCTGGACATGCCCATGGAAGATAGGTTTCTCAGCTCCTTCCCCTCAGCAACTCAGAAAGACCACACATGATAGGGCAGAGACAGCTGGGAAAGTGATCTGCAGCCAGATGGAAGGCCTCCTTTCAGATAGATCTGCAGCCAGAACCTAATAGTATGCAGCTTCTCCAGAAGGCCCAGCTGCTGTGGGGAGCAACCCTCCAACCTCAATTGCCATCAAAGTACCGGAGTTCCATTGAAGTGGTCCTTTTGTCCCTGGGTCTCTCCAGCTGTTCACCTTTGTTACCAGGGATACCCTGGACTTCAATGTGAGGGATGCTGTTTATGGGCTCATGTACATGAGACGTTTGGAAAACACTTCTGAACGATGGAAACTGACTGCTGGAAAATGTAGGTTAAAAAACGTCTGTTTAACCACGTTTGCATATCGCGTTTATGCGCGTTTGCGTTTAGAAGCGTTTTTTAAAGATAACATCAGGAGACCTTCCGAAATGCCCAGAATGCTCTGAAAAACAGTAAACAAATTAACTATTTCAGACATTTTGAGAGAAATAGAGAGAGCAGATGCAGGGAGAGCAGTATGTGTTGAGATTACCTGTCTTTTCTGGTTGTATTCACTATGGATCCTAACATGAGCATAATACGGCACGTTCGACTATTTTTTCCTTCATGCGAAACCTGGAACTGACTGCGCTTGTGTGCTAGGTCCATTTGAATACACGGAAAATGCTTTGCATGCATTTCTGCTGATGAAAAAAGGCTCTGGACAGCATCTGAAAATGTAAGAGTAAAAAAAAATTTTCAAACGCAAATGCTTATAAACACGGTTAACTGCGTTCACATGCGTTTACAGGCATTTGGCATTTGAAATGCTGATAAAATCTACTCCTGAACGCAAGTTTGGTGCATTCCAAAAAACGACTCAACTGCCTGTAAACTACTATAAACGACTATATGTACATGGACACATAGGAAAACATTAGGGAGAATTCCGGGGCTGCTGAAAAAAAACACAGAAAAGCTCCTGAACGTCAGTTTAGCAGCTGCAGTGTACATGGACCCTATGAGGATAATCTCACGTAGCTGTTTGTGTTTATTTAAGGTATGTTTATAGCACAAACAAACTACACAATTTGTAGCTTACAGTCTAAGGTTTCTACTTCACATGCATACAAAGACATAGTAGGGCATAATTCATCAATTAACCTATCAGCACTTCTTTAGAGTGGGGATGAAAACACACATGGGCACGGGGGCACATGCAAACTTCATGGGGGTAGTGTCCTGCTTGGCACTCAAACAAACCCTAGTGATACAAGGCAGAAGTGCTAGACCCTAAGCCATGGTGCTCTGTGTTATAAACTTTACTGAAATGTGATGTGTGATCCCCAGCATAATTGTCGGTTGTTATAGAGTTTATAGACACTTTGCTAAGCAGCCACATATTACGCTGTAAAGAGTCCATGTTTGTGCAGCTTTCATTATTCTGCAGTGTATGTGTGCTTTTTGCCATTCTGACCCTGGTTTGCATTACTGCTTCCAATTTTGCACTTGTTTTGTAAACTGTCTGATCACTCAGCCTATTGCCTATTGCCTATGTTACATAACATGTTCTGTCCCGCTTATATGTATGTATTTTTGTGTTGTTTAAATGTATCAGGTTATTATTGTTCATCAGCATGTTGACATTTAGTTATGGGCCACTACAACTTGTTTACTATTCGTTCTGCACTTGTCTTCCTCTCCTGTTTAGTGCTAGTTAGTAGCTCTAACACCTGACACCATGCCACCACTTCCAGTCTAGGAATTGGCAGCCATCTTAGTAAATTCACTTTAACATTGGTCATAATTGCATCTGGATGCAATTCTTAATGTGAACGTCAAGTTTCTTTTAACCACCGGCCATCATTTGACTATAGGCCAGGTGGGACATTCTCCATTCTGGGTGGATGTCATAGGACGTCCTCCTGGAATTCACCTTGCGTGTGCCCCACAGGCCCATGCTGCAGTGAGATCTGCCACCGACCGATCAGTGTACCCATCACAGTAGGTCACATGATAATTGTACACAATGGATGGAGTTCATTCATGCCTTCCATTATGGACTATTGTGTTGATCTCTGGGATTGGTCTGAGTAATCACATGGTACAGAGAAGGCCAATCACAGCCTATCTGTACCATGTGATTAGCTGTGGCCAATCACAGCTAACCACAATTGTAAACACTGAATTAATCAATTTCATTCAGTAAAAATGGTTGCTTATACCAATGAAATTCACTGGTATATGCAATCATAAGGTGTAAAAAAAATAAATCT